CTCCTCCCACCCCCACCCTCCCCGCCAAAAACCTGCTGGTCATTGGAATGTGAATTATAAATGAAAAAATATGGTAAGAGTGGGTAAACCCAGCAATGGCTTTGACCTCCAGTTGTCCCCTTTCACTTGGATACATGCTGCCCCGTGTTTAATTTTGGCAGGTCTATGCATGGAGCTACCATAATTTCTCATGTACAGTATGCATGTACATGAGAAATTATGGTAGCTCCATGCATAGACCTGCCAAAATTATCCCTCTCCATCCCTCTTGAAAAATTGCTGGCCATGGGAGTGCATGTTATATATGAGAAATATGGTAAAAGCCAATAAACCTAACAACAGCTGTGACCTATAACCCCCCACTTTTTTCCTGGGCACACGTGGCATTGAGTGTAATTTCTACAGGTCTGGACCTGGGTCTACCATAATTTCTCATGTACTGTATGCACCCCCAAGCTGCTGACCATTGGAGAGTACATTATATGCAAGAAATATGGTAAGAGAGGGTAACCCTGGCAGCAACTGTGACCTCCAATTGCTCCCTGACCACCGGGCACACACAGCCCTGGGTGTAATTTTCAAAGGTCTGGGCATGGAAGCACTGTAATTTCTCATGTACAACATGCATCTCCCCCCAAAACCTGCTAGCCATTGGAGTATGTTATATGCAAGAAATGTGGAAAAGCAGATAACCCTGGTGACAGCTGTGACCTTCAACAGCTCCTTTTTGCCTGGGCATGCGTGGCCCTGGGGGTAATTTCCATAGGGCTGGGCATAGAGGTACTGTAATTTCTCAGGTACAACACATGTTGTTGTCCCCCCCCCCCCATTTAAAAAAGGCTGCTGGCTATGGGAGTGCAAATACAGTACATGGGAGTGAAAAATACAGTAAGAGTGGGTAATTCCGGTGACGGTGGTGACTTTGAATTGTCCCCCTTTCCCTTGAGTGCACACAGCTCTGGTTATAATTCCAGCTGGTCTCGGTATGGTGGTACCATAATTTTTCATATACAATTCACATCTTACCCCCTCAAAAGCTGGTGGCAATAGAAGTATGCATTCTATGTGAGAAATACAGTAAGAGCTGGTAACCCCAGTGAGGGCTGTGACCTCGAATGGCCCAGGGGAGGTGGTGCAGAGGCTCATGGGATATATCCTCCCCCCCCCCAACAGAGCAGGCAGCAGGTGGACGGACAGGCACCTTCACTGACGACCTGCACAAGCTGGTGGACGACTGGGCGCGGGAGGCAGCAGGCACAGCCCTGCCCCGGCCCAGCCTCAACCAGCTACGGCGCGGCCCCTTGCGCCCTGACACTGATGCCTGGGCCAAGGCTGCTGAGGTGAGCCTGGATGCCCGGGCTCTCGGGAAGGGGAGTGGGAGCTGGGAGATTAGAGGAGGAGGGCTGGGAATCTGGACACTTGGGTTCTCTGGGAGGCAAGGAAGGCTGGGAGCCCAGATACCTGGGTTCTTTTGCAGGGGAGTGAGCCTGGGGGGTGAGAGTAGCGGGGAACTGGGAGCCCTGAATACCTGGGTTGTCTGCCAGGAGAGGGGAGGTGGGGGGGGTTAGAATGGGGTGGGGGACAGGGAGCCCAGATGCCTGGGTTCTTTGGGAAGGGGAGTGAGCAGCTGAGAGGTGAGAACAGTGGGGACTGGAGGCCTGGATGCTGGAGTTCTCTGGGAGGGGAGAGAGGGTTGTGGGGATTAGAGCAGAGCGACAAGGAGCCCAGACGACTGGGTTCCTCATCGAAGGATCCTCCTGACTGCACATCTTTCTCCCTTCTCTTCCAGATGCCGTCGGTGGCAACGGGCTATGGCTCCCCATGGCTCTGTTCCCTGTCCCCATTCCGTGGGCCTGCCCCACCCCCACTGCCCCCTGGACTGGCCTTCCCGGGCCCCCCAGCCCCTGCTCCACCACCTCCTGGGGCCTGCCTCAGCCCCTTGGCCCTGGCTTCCCCCACCTGCCTACACCCACGTGAAGCCAGGAGGGGCCAAGCCCTGTGTTTTCCCCCCCCATCCCCCTGCCAGGACCCTGGACATCAGAGCTGCCAGATGCTGGAGCCGTCGTCTCCTCTCCCCCCATCATGTTGGGGCTGGAGAGAGGGAGGGGGAGCTGCTCCCCCTGCCCCCCAGTTTCTTCTATCTGGTTCTTTGGGGTTGCCCCCCTTCAGGAGATTGTGAGTAATGGAGTCCCATATAGTTATTTTGCAAAGGATTCTGGGTAACATGGCCCAACTTTGCTGTCCTTTGTCCGAGGGTTATAGAGTCCAGGGTGGCTTGGCTCCTCTTGCAACAGATTCTGGGTAATAGAGCTCAATGGTGCTCACCCAACAACTAGCCAGCCTGCCAGTCAATCCGTCATCCAGCCCACCCACCAGCCAATCATCCAACCCAGCCATCAACTAACCAACCCATCAGCTGACCGACCCATCCACCGACCAGCCAACCATTCAACCCACCAGCCAACCACCAGCTAACCAATCCACCCATTAGCTAACCAACCCAACCATCAGCCAACCATCCAACAACCCACCCATTAGACAACTAACTTACCAACTAAGAAGCAACTCGCCAGGCAGTCATCCAACAAACCCACCCAGCAGCCAACCAACCAGCCCAAACACCCACCTACCAGCCAACCAGCCACTCACCAGCTCACCTGCCACCCACAACCACAGCTGGTCCAACTAACCTATCCATCTTCCAACCAACTAACTCATCCACTCAGCAGCCTGCCCACCATCCAACCCACTCACCAACTAACCCACCAGCCAGCTGCCAACTAACCCATCCATTCATCCACTTACCAGCCTGCCAACAAGTGAACCAGTCCACTCACCAACCACCCACCAGCCAACCAATGTACCAAGCAATCATCCAGTAATTAACCAACCCACCATTCAACCAGCCCACCCAGCCACCATCCAACTAACAAACCCACCAGCCTGTTGACCATCCAGCCAACCTACCTACTCACCAACTAACTAACCCAGAAAGTCATTAGCCAACCAACCCAACAAACAACCAGTCCACCAGCCAAGCAGTGCACCAAACCATCCAATAACCAACCAAACAATGCCCCCTGCCAACCCACTAAACCCACCTGTTAACTAACCAGCCCACCCACCCACCATCCAACCAGCCCAGCCAATCAGCTCACCTGCCCACCAGCCAACCAATGAACCCACCCAATATCCAACCAACCAACCCCACACCCACTTTGTGTGCATGTAGCTATGTTG